CGCCAGGCGCCCAGGCTCGGAATGGCTTGACAATAGGTGCCAGGTGGCATTCAACAGTGTCATCAAATGTGATGAAGGAGGATGGGTGATGATCGAAGACTTGGTGAGGCATGAGCCACTATGGACCCATGAAAGCAGACGCATCACCGAAGGGGTCTCAAGGACCGATGATCAACAGAAGAAGAGAGTGTACAATGAAAGACTTCAGCTATTGTTCCAGGGGAACATGATTGCAGCCACGAAACGCAACAAGGCCAAGATTCGGTTGCAGTTCCTGGGTGTGAGAGTGAAGGACCCCGGCACGGAAGTTCTTGGATCAGCAGGTTCGAACATGTTGGTATCAGTTCGGGACCAGATCACGGAGATCCAGAACAACGACCATTGCCGGCATGGCCAGAGGTACCTGAACCTATGCAACGGCTGGGTGAAGCCATGGGCAGTTCGGGCTACGAGTGGTCACTCTGCGCATTCAGATCCCCAGAACAACTTGCTTCAGTTGGACAAGAACAGGTTCGCAATATCTCCATCTATGACCCTCTTGCAACGTCTTGGAGGTGCGTTCCACGCTACGGCATGCCGCAACTTGGATTCCATTGTCACGCAAGGCATCATGCCTGGTTCGGAGGACCCCGACGGGGACTTCGACCATAGGCGCCAATTCCGAGGCAACCAAGGCGGCAGACTCCACAGCTATTGGGGGGTGTTTGCGCCGTTCGATCACCGGAATGCAACGACCAAGATGCGAGTACACGGACGAGACGCCAAGCACATGCCATTGGCGGTCCTTCATGTCCCATCGCAAGATCTTGCACGAGAGGATGGACGTATCACAGACAGCGGCATCATGATCGTTGGTCGAACGATACCTTTCCATTTCGTCAAGGAGGTATGGTTTTGCGTCCCTGATCCTCGAGATACACACTCTTTCGCTCTGGTGGAAAAGATCTACGATGAAAGGTTGGAGAAAGAGCTGGTGTTGGACTACAATGCGTCACCGTTGCTTCCCGAGTTCGAGAGATACCGAACGCCAAGCAAGATCATGGAATTGCTTTGCGAGATGCCTCCTGGACCCCACGACACAAGCAAGGAGCAGATCATTCGTGACCTCACGACTGTCCTGGAGTCCCACAGGGAGAACACGGTTCGGCATCACTACATGGACAAAGGAATCAAGTTTGTCATCAAGAATTGGCGACCCGAAGACCTACGCAGAGACGAGGATGGACGGAGAATGAGGGTATGCCCGGCATGCTACAACATCGTTCCAGCATGTTTCTCCCGATGCACGTCTTGCTGGTCACAGTTCGTTTCGAGCGGATATTACCAAGGTTCTCCACAACGGGAGACTCCTACGGAGATCCCCAGTGACTTCATTGCTCAGACAATGGAAGCCGCAGCAGCCGCAGTGCCTGAGGCGCCCGAAGAGGAGCAGGAAGCCATGGAGGTAGAGACCGTTGCGGAACCTGAAGAAATCCCAGAACCGTCTGTCATCGCGGAAGACGATCCAGAACAGGAACCTGATGAAGAAATGGACGTCGAGCCTGGAGAGGACTTTGATGACGCAGTTCCAGAAGCAATCGCACAGGAACGTCGTCCCGTCTTCATTACCGGCCAGTCTTTGAACATCGATCCTGAGCTACAACTTGCACGTACCGCCATGCAGCCATCTTACTATTCTGGAAAGCGAAATGCCCATTGCATTGACGCGAACATGACCGCTCTTTCGTACATGGCATACGTGGTATGCAGATCCATCTACAAAGCTTGGTCAGGATTCGCAAAGTGGGCGACTATGCCGTTGTTTCAGATGAGGGAAAGTTTCGCACTTGGCCAACGCTATGATGTGCTTGGAAAGTGGGGATCTTTGGCGGCAGTGGATAGGGAAACGGGTGTGAGCAGGGACGTGACTGATGAGGAGATCATTCGCTTTGCAAAGGAACCTGAGAACCTCAAACAGTATGATCCCAACGGGACTTACACCTTGAAGCGCTTCCGGACGAACCAGATGCTTTCTTTACTTGTACGGGGAGCCAACATGATGGGAATTGGCAGGGACAACTTCAACCCTACTACTTACTTGAAGAGCGACAGGGATGAAGATGTAAAGGCTATGCACTTTTGTTGCCTGAACGTCCTATGCGAGGTGATCCCAATGGTGACGGGACACCAACAATTCTCAGTGCTACGACCAACGCCAACTGGACCAGTGGACTTCTTGTACATCGACCCCGTCGGTATTCTGCTGACTCATTCTGATCAGTCAGTCCAGACCATCGCCTTGCTGGTGGACCACAGTGTGCAAATGCCTGCGCATTTCATGGACAGATTGAACAGATCCAAGACTGAGAGACAGCAAAACCCGACGACAAAGCGTACGGAAGCCCTACACCACATTTCGGCCGCTGACTATCTTCCTCCAGGTGGTACTTCCATCCTGGACACGCCTGTCACTACGGAGGAACGTGAAAGCGCTTCTTCATCCAAGGGACCTTCAAAAGGGCGTGGAAGAACCGGAGGCGAGCAACATGGTGGCTGGAACACCAATTCCTACCACGACTACATCGCCGCCAAAGGCCGAAACAAAGGCAAGGACAAGGGAAAGCCAAGGAACCAGTATCCAGAGGAGAACCTCCGGCCCTGGGACCGCGATCCTACGTCAACGCGAAGATGGTGGCGAGACAACGCCTGATCTTCCTCGCCTATCAGTTCGTGACCTCTGAGCTTCGCCCGTGGAATGCCATCGCGAATGCTTCTTTCTTCGGTGACGCCTGATTCGTTTGTCATTTCAGGGGATCGTTACCGACGTAGATGAGTGTCACAACGTTTATAATTGGGATACAAAGCTCTGATTTTCCAAAAGTCAACGTTGCGGCGGAATTTTCTTCTGTCCTATCGTGCCATCTTCCGGGTGAGCAGCGTCAGAGACGCAACTCATGGGGGGTGCGAACGGACTGCGATGCCTTGTCATGTTCTAAGGTGTCACTATAAGAGCTGTGAGCAAGACCGTGTAAAGTGCAAGAGAAGGGGGCACGCTACGCGTCCCTCGACTCTAGGGGGCATGCTACGCATCCCTCATCTTTACCTTTCTATGTGACCGCCAACGCAACGTTTGGCTCAAGTCAATGCCCATAGCTAAGTGCTATATGTGTCTTCTATCCTGAGCAATCAGAGCTATCCCGTTGCACAGACGAACCGCCGCCGGCAGTGAGTGCAAAAGGAACGGCCGCCGGTTCTGCCTGCATAGGATTGCACGTGTGGGAGTAAGAGGGAGAGACAGGGTCCAGTCTGTGGAGAGTGCTAGCCAGCCACACCTATATTCATTACAGCTCTGGTGGGGAGAGCAGCAACCAAGTCGAGATCAATCCCCCACGCACTATACATCTAAACATCTATACATCTATATATCTATACATCTATATATCTATATTTCTATATATCTATATATCTATACATCTATATATCTATATATCTATATATCTATATATCTATATATCTATATATCTATATACCTATATATCTATATATCTATATATCTATATACCTATATATCTATATATCTATATATCTATATATCTATATATCTATATATCCATATATCTATACATCTTTATATCTTTGTATCTATATATCTATATATCCATACATCTATACATCTATATATCTATATATCTATTTATCTATATATCTATATATCTACATATCTATATATCTATATATCTATATACCCATATATCTATAGATCTATAGATCTATAGATCTATATATCTATCTATACATCTTTATATCTATATATCTATATATACATCTATATATCTTTACATCTATACATCTGCATTTTCATATACCTATATACTTATGTATCTTTTTTTTATATGTCTACCTTCATGCATTTATACCTATTTCTCTATCTATCTTTCTATGTATATATATAGATATGTCATCATAGTACATATATGTATATATATATAGACACATGTGACAAGAGTTCAGCAAGGTTGCGTGCTTGCAGTGTAGTTGGAGGACATTCAAAGTGCAGCCCGCCGTCTCGACATTACCGTGAGGGCGTCTTGGCATCTTGCAACTCTGAACTCATGAGCCTTGCTTGCTGCCAGTAACTCCGTTCTCCGTTCTCCTTCGGAGAGGTTGTGGCGGACACTGCAGCGCGGAGAGAGCGTCTTGACAAGCTTTGCGAGCCGATCATGCGGCCCTTCAAACGACTCTTTCCCGCAACAAACGCTTTATCTGTCGTTCTCCCTCCCGACGTTTCTTCACGATATATTCGTGCTGCCAAGGAAAGCGTGATCAAGAAGATGCAGATCCACCGCAGAGCGAAGCGGAAACAAAGCTTTTGGGTGCTGAGCGTCATGAAAGAGGGCCACGGCCAGTTTCGTAAATCTCTCAGAAGAGCCCGGAGTCCTGGATGCGTGTCGCAGGTGCCGCCGCCTCGCCCTGCGAAAAAGCTGCAGGCCAGGCTTCCGGAGGAGCGCAGCCGCCCGTCCGTGGCAGCCGTCCGTGAGGGGCTGCATCTCTGCTGTTTTTTCAACTCTCTGCTTCCGTTACTGTGCCTGCGCAGTTGTAGGAGCTGGGATTCAGCGTTGGCTCCGGCGTCCGAAACAAGGCAGGAAAAGCGGCCTGGACCCACCACTGAAAGAGTAGAGATCGCTGCGTCGCGCTGTGCCAGGGTTGGGAGATCGGACAGATGGAGGTTCCACCTGTTGACTGTTGTGCTGTTTGCACGGTTGACCGGTTGAAGAGCCCGGTACAGGACGGTGTGCGGCCGGCGGATGATGGTGAGCCGGCCAGCTTCTAAGCATCCTTCAGCACCTCGTTTTATAATATAAGGAAGAGTCTCTGAGCAGCTTTCTGGCCTTCAGGATGTCTTCTTCTCACACTCCTACAGCGATAACTGCCCCTGACTCAGCGAGAACCGCCGCCAGCCGAGAAGAGAGGAGGAGATAATTGTCAGATAACTGGATTCGACCAGAGGTCGGCGTGTGGACATGGGGCTCTTCGAGTGCAACTGTCCAAACAGTCCGGAACCTCACTTTTGCGGCCCTTTCGGCGTTCTCCGTCGAAGCGATCTCCTTGCCTCCGAGGTCTCAGTTGCTGCTCGCACTTGTACGCCGCCTGCGTGGCGCTTCCCCAGCAGCTTGGATCAAAGCTCTCGGCTGCCTTTGCTTTTCTGCTGTGAGGGCAGCTTTGCGAACTTTCCCAGGTATCGACATCGTGCTGCCTTTCTGTGGGCCCTGCGGCAGGCCAACGCAGCCTCAAGTTTTTTGCGGAGGAACAGAAATTCTAGGTATGTCTGCTTTCCTCGAGGACCTCGGTGCTGCAGCTGGCAGTGAGGAGAATCCAAGCAAGCAAAGTTGGTCCAGCCGAGCACCGAGGCCAAGCTCGACTGCCATGAGAGAAGGGCTTGGAAGAACCTGTGCTCCCTTTTTGCGCGAGTTTGTACGAAGGGGTGGCTTCGAAGGCTGCCGGCGACGGGTGAAGGCTGCATGTCTGATGTCCGAAGCCTGACACGAACTTAGGCTTCGTTGTGCTGTGGCGCTGTCCTGACAGGCTGCGTTGCTTCGGCACCTGCCCCTTGAGGAGCTGTGTCCACATTCTTCATTGTTAACGTCACGATATGTTAAGTAAGTCGGCCCTATCGTGCCATCCTCTATAAATTTTGCCCTGTCTCGGGGCACATGGCAGCAGCTGTTGCTGGACCAGGTCGTGCAAGACATTCGGTGCTCGTATGTCTGTCTGTCTGTCTGTCTGTCTGTCTGTCTGTCTGCAAGACTTGCACATCTTGCTTTCTTGCCTTCGTGTTTGCGTTCACGCAACTCATTGGTGGCACGGGTATATGGACTCTACATGTTTGAACTCATAGATGTCATTGGAAAAATGCACATGCAGACATGCGGACCTAAATAAATGCATGCTAAGTAGGTTATCCAAGCAAGCGAGCGAGCAAGCAAGCAAGGGAGTAAATACGTAATCAGCAAGCAAGTAAGTAAGCAAGCACATAGGTAGGTAAGGAAGCAGGAAAGCAAGCAAGCAAGTAAGCCTTTGAGCAGTAGGCAAGCACACAAGCAAGCAAGGAAGGAGGTACGTAGGTAGGTACGGTAGGTAGGTAGACAGGTAGGCAAGTAGGTAGGTAGGCAGGAAGGTTGGGTAAGCAAGCAAGCCAGCAAGGAAGTAAGTAAGTGAGTAAGTTGGTAGGTAGATAGGTAAGTAATTACGAAGGTAAGTATTCACCTGTACTTATGTACCTATGTGACTGCGCATGAACTCGTATGTGCAGGTGTGCACATGTACGCTGTGATACGTGAGTGTACCTAATTTTACTTAATTTGTAAATGTCGGTGTATATATAAATATATTTCATATGTAGAAATATATATGTATATATATACACACACACATATAGTATAAATATAGAGACAGAGATAGATAGCGAGAGATAGAGAGAGAGGTAATTTTAGATGTATGCTGGTGCATGTGCGCACATGTGCATGTGTGTCTCTTTGCCTGCTCGTGTGTGTGTATATATATATATATATATATGTGTGTGTGTGTGTGTGTGCATGTGTGTGTCAAGGCCTGTGTATATGTATTGTTGGACAGGTGAAGCCCGAGTAGATAGTTCGAGAAGAAGATTGTGCATGTACGTAGACAGGTAGGCAGGCAGATAGATTAACAGATAGCCAGGCAGACTAGTGCTACAGACGCACAGACAAAGAGGCAGGCATACAGCCAGGCAGGCGGGCAGAAAGATGGACACACATACAGACGGACAAGCAGAACGAGACACAGTCACCAGCCCGCAAAGCACACTCTCCCACAAGTTGATGCCTCTGACTACTGCAGCAGACAGGCAGGCCATTCGAGAGACACCGTTGCGAAGTCATCAGACTAGACGCTGTAATGGAAGCGGATGTTGCGAGGATGTGGCGGATGCGGCAGTGGATGCTGCGGTGGGGATGTGGGTGTCGGCCTTAAGTGAATACTGCGCTGTGTTTTCTGCTCGAGGAGGAGACGTGTGTGCAAGCGTTTCTACGGTAGCTGAAGTATACGGTTGCAGGCAGTAGGAGACACTGGGATCCGCTGGGTGCCGGGCGTCTGAGGTTCGGGTTGAATGGCTGCGGCAAGGCTGAGCCAGAGAGTTCTCTCCGAGTCTCTACGCGTCTCCGGCTTTGCCATGCTGGCGCTTGACACAGGCCGCGTGCCGAAGCTCGGCGCCTACTGGGCCGATGCCGTGGAGCGGAGCCTGGGAGGTCGAAACACCAGAAGCGAAGGTTTCGGGGACCGCCGAGGGGAGAAGGAGAAATATGGAGATAGTGACAGATGGGTCACAGGACGGCAGGGAGTATTTCCATTGCATCGCTTGTTGTTCCTTTCAGATGCCGCTGCCTCCACCGACATCGACCTGGGCACGGCAGCACAGGTGGCAAGAGTCTGGAGTATTAAAGATGATTGTCTTGACGGAGACCAGCTGCCGAATTCCCGATACCATTTTCTCATCACCTCTCAGAAAGCATGCTAGTTGCCGGAGGACCGCATCAGGAATCTCCTCGGAAAGCTTCGCATGAAGCCAGCAGAACTGGTACCGTCCTCGGAACCTTCGCATTAGAGGTTCTGGAACCCTCCAGGTTTCACCTGGGTTGGGGTGTCGGGATCAGGGCTTAGATCAGAGCTGTAGCTGTCGTCAGTCATTGAAGGCTTGTCTTGGCAGTGATGAGATCGAAATAGAAGAAGTAATAGTAGTGGTAGCATGTAGTAGCAGTTAGCAGTAGCAGTATTGGTAGGAGTCGGAGGAGAAGGAGGAGGAGCAAGGATCTTCTCAACATGAAAGGCTGGAATAGGACCTGTAGCTGTGGTTCTCGTGACAAGACTTTCTCACGGCGTTGTGGCGTTGTGCTCAGGCCCCCCTGCTCTTGGCCTTGGCACAGGGCCAACTCCCGGAGTCTGAGAGGTGCTTCTGCCCACGACGGAAGTTTTAGTCTGATTACAACAGCAGTAATTGTGATAGTGAGGCCCAATAGCAACAGGCACAATGTCAAAGTAGCCTTTGCATTGCAAAGCTGAGTTAATGGCTTCGTCATTCGGCAATGGTAATGCTAGCAAGACCGAGGCTTGGATGAGCAGTTTGCCAGTTTGCGGCTTGAACCAAGCAGGTCCTTCAGTTCTAAATTCATGGCAGGTCCTGCCATGACCAGTGCCATGACCTGCTCACTGCATTTGATGCCTGTCTGCGTGGTAACCTTGTGCAGTGTCGATGTGATTTTCTGGACTCCACGGGTTCTTCCGAACCAACATCGTCTTGCTTGCCGGTGTCCAAGGTGGTTTTGTTATTTAGATGATGGTGATGTTAGTGATGTTGGCAATTGTTTGTGGATTTTTGACTACTCCTTTTGCACCCTCGACCTGGTAGCCTTGTCGATGCCCAAGCTCTCTGATGGCAGGCTCTCGCAGCGGTGGGAAGGTCTGTGCCGACACTTCTGGGCGCAGGTCGCGGTCGAGGTGCCACGACGGTTACTTTGCCATTCCCGTCGTTCCTTCTTTCTTGCCTCCCCCCACCAGTGTTTCCGACGGTGTCATGATACCAGCAGCAGCAGCAGCAGCAGCAGCAGCGGCAGCAGCAGCAGCAGACGCAGCAGCAGGCAGCCGCAGCAGCAGCAGCAACAGCAGCAGTGCAAACTTATTGAATCCACGGCTATGATGACTATGAATACCATCACGATTACGCCCACCGCTACCATGCCCTGCAGTATCACCACCAGCACCACCGCCACTGTAGCGAGAAGGAAAGCCTTAAGTAACCACAAAAAAACACCATTGATGGTAGCGTTGCTGACGCCCCTGACGATGCGAGTGACAGCCATGATGATGAGAATGATGATGATGATGATGGTGATGCTGATAATGATGATGATGATAATGATGCTGATAATATAATGGTGGTGATGATAACGGTGGTGGTGGTGGTGGTGGTGGTGGTGGTGGTGGTGATGCTGGTGGCGATGATGATGAGGATCACGGCTGATGGTGTTTGTTGATGGTGCTGCTCACGCTGCAAAAATGATGACCTCCTTGTCGTCGTTTTGGTGGTTGTGCTTGTGCTTGTGCTTGCTTTTGCTGTTGCTGTAAGCCTCTCGGCTCAGGAAAGGTCAGGCTAGTACAGTGCCTTTTTCCTTTCTTGCCATGGCATGTGTCAGCGCCTGAGCAGTCCCGGTCCCAAGTCCGGGAGGGAGCATTTAGATTTACAGCTTTCTATCAGCTCCCAGAGGTGAGGGTTGTCAGTTTTGCGCAGCCGACAGGAGCCGTGCTCAACATGAGCACTGCGAAACAGCCTAGTGTCTCGACCAAGCATCTCCCGCCCGTTCCTAAAGGGAAAGGTAAGCGCTCTTATCAAAGGGCGGCACGCAAAGCTCTGATTGAAGGTAGTGCGGTTTACAAAGGGAGGGAGGATGTCGTCATCAGAGCTGGGAGTTACTCCGGCATTAGATAAGACCCCAAACCCAAGTAGAAGGGCTAAGCCCTCGAAGTTCTTTGAGGATACGAATGTCAGCTATCTCTCCTGGAATGCAAGCTCTCTCACTACAGCAGTGTGGGAAGAGTTACTCTCCGTTCTGAAAAGCAGAGCATTTCAGGAGGTTAAGCTGGTTGCTATCCAAGAAACTCACTGGAGAGGCTCCTGGCAATTTAGCAAGGAGGGGTGGCACGTGATCAGCTCCGGCACCTCCGGAGAGAAGGGTGCTGGAGTCCTGGTAATGGTGCACTCAACCCTGTGTAAGTCACAAGATCTTCGCTTCAATGAAGTTGTCCCTGGTCGAGTTCTTCAAGTCCGTGTGCCTAGCAATGGCATTTCAATAGCTGTCTTCAGTTGCTACCAGTATGTCTGGCGCTCCAAGGAGACAGTTACTCAGAATAAGCAGTCTCGACAGCAGACCCTCCATGCCCTCAGCAAGTCCATTCGAGTGGTCCCAAATAGAAATACTCTTCTAGTGCTCGGAGATTATAATGCCTCTCTCAAAACAGACAACAGGCATGTGGGACCATGCACGATTCAGGCCTGCCGTCTTGGACACCGAGGGTCCAAGGATCTACAGTCTCTCTTGACAGAACATCAGCTAGTCGCAACCAACACCTGGGGAGTTCACAGACCTGCCACCCATGTTCAGGGCAACTCGGTGTCACAGATTGACTTTTCCCTTGTTCGCATATCCCAGTCCCAAGGCCCAGCCCGGTTCAGCCGGCCACTACGGGCTTTTCCAGTAGCAACATGGCGGGAGGGTAGTAAGCATTTCCCTCTACTAGGCACCATCCGACATAGCAGGAGATGCTCCGCAACAGCCTCTACACTCTACACCTTACGATCAGCAAGCTATGGAAGATAGCTATAGGCACCAAGCTCCGCAAGTCAACGAGTTCTCCAAGGAGGTAGATTCACTTCTTCAGGACCAGCCTCAGACCTGGAGCTCTCTCTATCAAGCGATGAACTCGGCTCTTCAGGTCCACTTCCCCAAGCGAAGGGTGGTGGGAGCGAAAGCAGAGACCAACATCTGGGAGGAGCGCTCTGCTTTGCGCTCCCTTCCGTTGGCATTGCGGGTAATAGCTGAGTTCCTGCCGACACTCCAAACTCGCATAGTGTTTCGATGCTGGAGCTCTATGTCGAAACAGAGCTCACAAGCCCGAAGCGCGAAGCGTCTCAAGAAGGAACGTCGACAGCAGGAAATCGATGAACAGTTCCAGCAAGCAGAGTTTAAGTCCAAGCAGGATGGAATCCAGACATAGCTTGTTGGAGTGTTGCCTTGAGTCGCTTCCTCACCAACCCTGCTAGTACCTTGCCCTCCGGGGCTATCACCCCTATGGGTCGAAGGGAGGCGGGTTTGTCCGGCTTCTTGGGAGGCTTTGGAAGCCATGAGATCTGCGAGGAGGTTACACCCTCCGAGAGCGAGCCTGCAGAGACCTCTCGGTTGAGAGTGTCCGAGATGAGCTGGATTGCTTGGGGACCTAAGGAACGCCAGGCGACTACTGGAGGGCTATCTCTCGGAACTGCTTTGCCTAACTTGATGGTGCCGAGCTGTTCCTTAACCTCGTGCACTGTGATGTTTAGGCTTCCTTGGACGCCGGCTAACGGATAGTCTGCCCCAGCTCCGAAGAGATCTCGAGAGTACTCCTCGAGTTGCTTTCTTTCCTCGGAGGCGGTCAGAAAGCGTCCCTCCGAATCCCTGAGCTAAACTTTATCTTGTGGCCTCCCTGATCTAAATCGCTTGATGACCTTATAAAGGGAATGACGTCTCCCAGTTTGGCTTTGTTCCAGGAAGGGGCACCGAAGACGCGATCTGCAAAGCGCTAGCACATGTAGACCAGGCAAGATTCAGACAAGCTAATGCCACCAGGGCGGCAGGCAAGGGGCAACAAGGCCTCAAACTCCATGGCAGCCTCACCTTGAGCGTTGACATGAGCAAAGCCTTTGACACTGTGGGCAGGCTCCGATTGAGGGAGGCCCTGGAAGCTGAACAGGCTGATCCCCTACTAGTTGAGGTCGTCGGTCACCTCCACATCAAGGCCTTGCACTGGATGACAGCAAACGACCAGAGTTTCGAGATAGCCACTCGAAGGGGCATTAAGCAAGGCTGTAAGCTCGCCCCCTCCCTCTTCGCCTTCGCCTCTGGACTCCTCTTTAGGAAGCTAGCAGGACACATCAGCCCGGAAGAGCTAGTCAAGCTCCTAACAATGTATGCTGATGACAGTCTGATCCAGTCACATTTTTGACTCCGAGGCTGGACTCATGACGGCGTTGAGCCACTGCGACCTGTTACTGGATCAACTGGTGGAGCTAGGCTTTAAGGTTAATCCTTCCAAGTCCCCTATTTTGCCCCAGCTGCAAGGGGGCTCTGCCCCGACCATCAGGAAGAAGCTCTTTCGCACGGTTGAGGGTGTCAAGTACATCGAGCTCCCTTCAGGAAGGTTGATCTGTCTTCGGTACCAGGTTCCGTACCTAGGGGTAATTCTCTAATTCTCTCCTATCATGATTATGAAATGCGCACTCTCAGGCACCGCTTGTCAGCCAGCAAGCTGGCAATGTCAGAAGTTGCACATGCGGTTAGAAATCATCGGGTCCTTTGGGACAGACGTCGCCTGTCGATCTGGACTATCACGGCGTGGGCCTCAGCTCTGTACGCTCTGCACGTGGTGGGGCTTACCCAGCAAGGCCTCCAAAAGCTCCATTCTCACATGATGTATCAGCTCAGATTCGTCCTGCGGAGCTACTCCCAGGAGACGAAAGAATTTAGGATTCCTCATGTGAAGGAGCTGCAGAAGCGAATGATGCAGTTTCTGAAACGACAGCAACAATCAGATCCCCTTCTTCTCCCGCACTATAAGGTGAGATCTGAAGCTGTCAGTCAGGCTTTTGCAAATCTCTCCACCGACTTCTCATCCTCCCAGGTAGAAGATAAACTCATCACCTGTCAGGAATGCGGAGTGTGTCTGTCTGGCACAGGGGCTCTGCGTCGTCACATGCACAAGGCACATCCAGAGTCGCAGCAGAGTCTAAAGGGGCCCAAGTTTGACCCTATTTTGCACTCGATGCCAGGGTCAGCAACTTGTACCGCCTGTCGCTCAACCTTTAGATCAGTGTTTTATCTTCGTCGTTATGTCGAAACGTCTACTTGTCCTAGGGTCGAGCTTCTACTTCGACAGCAAGAGGAGCTTCCCACAGAGGCTCAGACAAGGATAGCACTATCGGAGAGGCTGCAGTCAGAAGCCCAGAAAAATCTTGAAAGCGCAGCCAGGAGTCCAGAATTTCATGATTATCTCATGGAACGCCAGGTCTTGGTGGGCCAGAAAGGTGCCAAACAACATCTAAACAAACAACACCCTGAAGTAATGTCCAGACTAGAGAAGACGCTGCCCTCTCGACTCACTCAATTTAAGGTCTTCTTTCGCAAAGGAGACAGCTGCCGCTACTGCAAGCTTTGTGTAGATGCACCTGGCAGACATGCGCAGCAATGTGTACCACTCTTGCAGGTACATGTTCTGCAGGAGGTCGTGCGTCTACAGGTTAGGAAGCAACCACGGGACTATGTTCTGACCAAGACCTCCTCGTCTACTCAAAAGCCTCCACCAGCTCCCAAGCTCCCAGGCTCCGAACTTCCTGTCTTCAAGCTCGAAGGCTTCCTTCTTCTTGCAAATACCCGGAATCACTGCTATGCGAACTCAGGCCTGCAATGCCCGCACTGGGTCTCAGATCCCGCCGAGGCACCGTTCCGAGAAGCATCAAGGGTGAGCCAGCTTGCGCGAATCACCCCTGAGCACTCAGTCTTCTCAGAGCTTACTTCGGGCTGGCATTTCGATGGCGGCCAACATGACTTAGCCGAGTTTTTGCAGCAGGTCTTTCGAAACTCCCCGAACCCAGATTCGGGCAGTGGGAAACCAGAGCCTCGGTGCCAGAGGGAGTAATAGTAGACGAAGAAGGGGGACCCCCAATTCACCTTGCCACCGCGACCAGGACG